GAAGGACAGATACTGGAGCTGAATACTTTGGCCACCTAATCAGATGGAAGGACTCACTGGAAAAGACCCCGATGCTGGGAATGATCAGAAGGAGAAGGGGACAGCAGAGGTTGAGGTGGCTGGATGAGATCACTGAGAAGGTGGGTATGGGGTTGGGTGGACTCTGGGGGATGGTGGAGGACAGGAAAACCAGAAGGAGTGTTGTCCACACGGTCGTGAAGAGTTGGGCATGACTTTGCAACAACAACAACACATCTAGTGGGGTGCCACAGGGCTCAGTCCTGGCCCTAGTGCTCTTCAACACTTTATTAATGGTTTGGATGAGGAAGTGCAAAGAAAGATAATCACATCTGCAGATGATACAAAACTGGGTGGAATAGCAAACACCCTCGTAGACAGAATGAAGATTCAGGGCAATCTTGATAAACTTGAACACTGGGCTGAAACCAACAGAATGAAATTCAATACGGACAAGTGTCAAGTCCTCCATCTAGGAAAAAGAAACCAAAGGCATTGAAACAAGATGTAGAATATGTGGCTTAACAGAACTGAACAAGAAAATGCTAATACATAATGTTGGACACGGAATAATCAATTCAAGTTACAGCAACCCAGATTCAGGCTGTATATCAGGAAAAGCTTCCTCATGGTCAGAGCAATACAACAGTGGAACCAACTGCCTAGGGTGGTCCCACACTGGAGACATTCAAAAAGAACTTGGACAGCCATCTGAGTGGGATGGTGTAACGTGGTGTCCTGCAACAGCAGAGGGTTGGACTCAATGGCCTTGATGGCCCCTTCCAACTCTTCTATTCTATGATTCTAACCCACATTCAGGCTAGATATCACAAAAAGTTTCTTTACTGTCTGAGCAATACGACAGTGAAACCAGCTACTTAAAGAGGTTGATGGGCTTTGCCAAACTAGAGACATTCGACGCAAAACTGGACAGCCATCTGTGGGATGGTGTACACTGGTGTCGAGCAAGACCAAGGGGTTGGATATGATGGCCTTCATGGCCCCTTCCAATTCTACTGTTCTATGATTCTAGGATTATCTAGTTAGCTTAAAATCACAGAATCGAGTATGCATCTTATGCAATGAACATTGGTAATGTTTGTAGGACAAAATCTAGCTGAGGATGTTGTTGTCCTCTTATTATTAAATATCTTTCCCAGTTCATCTCTGTTTTCCTGATGCCACTTTACCTTTGTTTTATTTACAGCACTCTTCCAACCAATCACTACCAGTGCAAATTCAAATTATTTAAAACCAGCCTGTAATAATAATGATGATGATAATGATATCAGTTCTCTAGCAAGCTAAAAGAAGTTGTTTCACCTAATTCCCCCTTCATTCCATTGCTTATAATGCTCAGTATATCCTTTCTTTTGTTGCTCAAACTTTCCTCATTCTCGTCAGGTGCACAAGTGACACAGACTTCTGGAAGAAAACCAATATGTCTCCTTTTTGTCTCATTTTGTAAGATTCCACACCTATTTAATTGGCCCATCCATTTCAGTTCCTCTTCCCTCTCAAAATGTGTCCATCTCCTCTGTTGGTTATTCCCTTCACTGAGGGAACTGGGTCTTTTCAGCCTGGAGAAGAGGAGACTCTGAGGGGATCTGTTGGCGACGTATATGATATGAGAGGGTGTCACACAGAGGTGGGTAGAGACCTGTTCTCCCCTGCAGAGGAAGGCAGGATGTGCTGCAATGAAACCAAGCTCAAGGAACCAAGGTGCCAGGAAATATTTCCTGACAGTTAGGACCCCAAGGGTATGGAATGGGCTTCCATGGGAGGTGGCTGAAGCCCCACTGGTGAGGATTTTCAAGGATAGGCTAGACATGCACATGGTAGGCATGTCGTGAGCAGAGCTGGCTCGAGCCGGGGGTCAGACTAGATGGCCCGGGAGGCCCCTTCTGACGCGCTCAGTTTCTATGTTTCCCCTTTTTCAGCAAGCTCATATTTTTGTAGTGCTGCTCTTCCTTCCTTCCTTCCTTCCTTCCTTCCTTCCTTCCTTCCTTCCTTCCTTCCGTGTTCAAAATCAACACCCCTGTACACTGCAGTACTTTAATTATTCTCTGCAGCAAATGATTCCTAGTGTTTATGTGGGATAAGGAGTTTTTGTGAGCATAGGAGCAAGCAGTATTTGACAGAATGCATAGTTCACCAGGTCCCATTTTTAGTAACTGTTAAGCTAAAGCTGATATAACTTTATATCTGTACCAGGTAACTAAGTCCCTGTTTCTGTTTGGTTCTTGGATAGTTGCAAGAAGGCCAGTCCAGATCTGCCTATCTTCCCTACTCACAAAGACACTAGAGTCCCCACAACTCTTGATATGGTAGGCACTCCTGTTAATACCCAAGTTGCCGTATGGATAGCGAAATAGCTTGAGCTACTGACTTGATCATGCCAAAGTACCATCTCCCCATTCAGCACCTTGGTATAATGATGAACTGAGGGCAATGAAGCAAGTAGGGAGACAGCTGTGGAGCACAGTTGGAGCAGTTCTCAAGATGAGTTCAATCAAACATGTTTAAGAGCTCACTATTGAGCCTACTCAGTGGCAATAAGGCAGGCAAAATGTGGATACTTTGCCTTCCTTATTGCTTCCTTGCAGTGCCATCCGGCTGAGTTGTTTCGAGTGGTTCGGGGCCTCCTACAATCTGGTTCTCCTGATGAGACCCAGGAGCCCTCAACAGCTCTGTGTGATGAATTTGCTTTGAACTTTAAGGGAAAAATCACTCAGATCTGCTTTGAGCTTGACTTTGCCATTTGTGCAGTGCATTCTTCAGATGTGTCCTGTGCACCATCTAATGGTCCATTATTGGATGAGTTTCAGTTACTGAGACCTGAGGATGTGGACAAGGTGCTTATCTCTGTCCAATTCATCACATGCATTCTTGACCCTTGCCCATCTTGGTTGTTTGGGAGATTTGAAGGGATTCAGCCCTGGGTCCAGGAGGCTGTCAACCCCTCATTAAGAGAGAGAGTGGTCCTCACCCTATTAAAGGAGACAGAAGTGAGACCACTCCTAAAAGGGCCAGGCCTGGACCTGAGAATTTGCAGTAACTACTGTCCCATTGCTAAACTCCCCTTTTTGGGCAAGGTGCTGGAACAGGTGGTGCCCGGGCAGCTTCAGGTGCTGGATTATCTGGATCCATTTCAATTGGGCTTTAGGCCTGGGTTTGGGATGGAGACAGGCTTGGTCACCCTGTATGCTGACCTTTGCAGGGATAGGGGCAGGGGGAGTGTGATCCTGTTGGTTGTCCTTGACCTCACCGTGGCCTTTGACACCATCAATCATGGTGCCCTTCTGGACAGGTTAGCCAGGGTTGGGGTTGGGGACACCAGTTTGTAGTGGTTCCACTCCTACCTGGCTGGCCAGGTCCAGAAAGTAGTGCTGGGGGACAGTTGCTCTGCACCATGGCGGTTGCATCATTGGGTACTGCAGAGCTTAGTGCTGTCCCCCATGCTCTTTAACATCTATATGAAGCCTCTGGGAGAGGTCATCTGGAGATTTGGGCTGAGGACTCAGCAATATGCTGACGATACTCAGCTCTACCTTGCTTTTACTTCTCATCCAGGTAAGGCTGTTGCCATCCTGAACCAGGGTCTGAGCTCGATAATGGACAGGATGAGAGTCAATAAACTGAGGCTAAATTCTGACAACACAGAGGTGTTGCTAGTAGGGGCTCATGGGGTCATCTGACTGGTTGGAGGGGCATCACTCTGTCCTTGATGGGGTTGCACTCCCCCTAAGGGACAGGATCCACAGTCTGGGAGTGTTCCTGGACCTGGATTTGTCCCTGGAATATCAGGTGAACTCAGTGTCCTGGGGTGCTTTCCTCCAGCTGCAGTGAATACACCAGCTTTGTCCCTACCTGGACAGACAGAACCTCAAAGCAATTACCCATGCACTGGTAACATCTAAAATAGATTACTGCAACATGCTGTATATGGAGCTGCCCTTGAAGACACTTTGGCAATTACAATTGGTACAGAACAGGGCCTCTCGGTTAGTGATGGGAGCCCCTAGAGCAGCCCACATAACTCCTACCTTGAAAGAACTACATTTTTTACCAGTTGTGTCCCAGGCCCAATTCAAGGTGCTTGTGTTGACATATAAAGCCCTAAACAGCTTGAGCACCTACACCCATATATGCCTACCTGGCCTTTGAGATCTATGTAGGTGACCCTCCTGTATGAGCCATCCCCTCAAGAAGTGAGAAGGGTGGCTGCTAGGAAGAGGGTCTTTTCTGCAGCTGCTCCCCATATTTGGAATGTTCTCCCCAAAGAGATCCACTTGGCACTTTCCTTATACTCTGTTCAGCACCAGGCTAATACCTTCCCTTTTAAAAATATTTTAGTAGTTGATAATACTCAACCTTTGTTTTGTATTTTTATCTGTATTTTATTACTATTGTATTTTTAATCGTTGCAATTAGTTTTTTTATTGTGGTTTTTATCTTATGATTTGAGCTGCCCAGAGGTGCTGTGGCACAATAGTTGATCTACAAATGTATAAAGAAATATTCTGAAGTATAAATTTAAAAAGGGGTAGTTGCTAGATAGAGCTCAAACATTAAGTCTGTTTGGCCCTCAAACATACCTTTTGCCAATCTTTAACCTTTGTAATAAAAATACCTCTGGCTACAAAAGAGTGCTACATACATTACTGAGTGCCAGAATATACTAACAGGATGTCTCTCTCATTTGATTGCTCTTAGCAGCCTATAGTTATAGTGGTAATAATCCACATGTAAGCTCCACAAAGAGAAACAGAACATCCAATCAGCAAAACTTCCAGGAATGGCCATGCACAAATGGCTGTGTCTTCTTGGTCCCCTTACATTTAATATTCTTCCAGTGACAAGACAAGCTAATACTAGACAGTTTGTTTGTTTTTTTACTGTCTTGTCCTCTAGTCGGGCTTGAGCTTCCATCTCTTGTGCTGATCTTGACTAATCTTGTCATAAGAAAAACTTAATTATATTGTATTCTCCTTTCTTAGCCTCTACAACTGGACTGTGACCACTGTGCCATCATCTCAAATTCAGGTCAGATGACAGATCAGAAAGTAGGATTTGAAATTGACCGGTCCTCCTGTATATGGAGGATGAACAATGCTCCCACCAAGGGCTATGAAAATGACGTGGGGAAGAGGACAACAGTAAGAGTTGTCTCCCATACCAGTGTCCCACTTCTGCTTAAGAATCCTGAATATTTTTTCAAAGAAACCAACAGCACAGTCTATGTCATCTGGGGACCTTTTAGAAACATGAGGAAAGATGGCAATGGCATTGTGTACAACATGCTGAAGAAGACTGTTGACAGCTACCCTGGAGCCAATATCTATGTGACCACAGAAAAACGCATGGGCTACTGTGATGAAGTCTTTAGAAAGGAAACAGGGAAAGACAGGTAAGTCCTGCCTTGCTGATTGAATACATATATCAAAGTGTACAGGAGAAACAGTCTTGTTGCCAGCTATTAAGAGAATCCCCCAGACCAGAATCTTAACTGGATTATTATAGACTCTTTGCTGTAAATGTTTGGTGAGGCATCATCCAGGCACCCTGTCCTTGGCCTCCATTGCTCTCTGTTCATTCCATTTTTGTTGGCTTAGATCTCAAACAACACTAGAAACACAACTGAAGCATTTTCAACAGACTGTTCTGTTCTTCAGTTCAATGTAATATTCATTAAGATGAGAATTTACTGAAAGAGGAGTAACAGTAACAGCATATTGACAGTCAACTCACAAAGAAAGCTGAAAATAAGTGGGTGGGATTTCTTCATGGCAACTGCTGGAGTGTTTGAGCTGGAATTGACCATATCAGGGTACTGCAACTGTTGCTCATACAACACCATTTTATTTGGCTGTTTTTGTAAGTCTGCAAAAACAGGTATTTCTGTAAGCACAGAACGATCAGTAACCCAAGCTGACCTGACTATATTTATTTTTTATGTTTGGTTCCACAGATCAGTGCCCAAAGACCTTGTGAGGTTCTGAACAGTGACTTCAGTAGCTAGTTGTTGGCCATTGCACTAGATATCTCTCCTACCAGCAATATGTACTTTACATTAGGAGCAATGTCAGATGGGATATTGCTCCTAGAAAACACCAGATTGCTTATCTCCATGTTAGATCATGCATACTCCAATAGAGCTTTCCCATCTGTAGTATTCTTGTAAGAGTACTTACTCTTCATGTAACAAGCAAAAGTCCAGTGCAGCTTTGGGATGACTTAATTTTGAGTGGTGAATTGTAGGGAAGAAGGAAAAGAAAGCTGTTGAATACTTTGCCTGACAGCTATTTGTTTGTTTCAGTTTTCCACATTCACCAGCATTGCCGTCATCACTATCAAAAGCCCTTAAGCTGGTACAAAGGATTCAGCACCATCAGTTTCATGGTACTTTAAGAACTCCCAAGGAAGTTTATGATCAACAAAGGTGAACAATTAAAGGAAAGGAAGTAGAGGTTTAGGTCAAAAAGGATTAGGAGTGGGAAAGCAGCTGGAAAAAATAAGATCAAGCTCACACTTGCTAACACTTTCTGTCATTAAAATTGCCATTCCTGATATGGCTCTTCAGGATAGAAAATTAGTGCTGAGTTTTTCCATGTTTCATTGCCATTTGGTGCTACAATACAGCTGAGACCTCCATAAATATCTGTGAATGTTATAGGCCTTAATAAAATCAAGGGGATGGGGCAGAATATTGCAAGAAAGGGTATATCTTCTTGTTTGTCTGGTTTCCCTTCACATGCAGCAACCTCTGAGGTTTTAGAGCAAAAGCAGCACAGCACCAGGCTTCAGACAGTTGTTGCTTGTAACATTACTCATGCAGATAGATACTGTCTCCATTTATAGATGCGAGAGCTGAGGATTACATAGAGGAATTTGCCAAAGACCAGCTAGTGAGTCCATCGCAGATGAACACAAACCTGATGTTTAGACTGAGGTCCAAGACTGTGTTATCCATTGAAACATAACTCTTGCAAGGTTCCATATGTTATGCTTCCAGTCCACATCCCACTGAGGTGTCTGCATGTGACAATGAAGGGTGTTTTTTACCTGAGCCATCGTTTGAACTGTTGAAGAGCAATGAAGCCTTGTATGTGAGGAAAATGGCCGCATGCGCATCACCAAACCATTAGACAATTGGTCACTCTTTCATTTTGTGTCTTTCAGTTTCTCTTCTTGATTTCATAAACCACATATTCTTCTGGTTCCTTGAACAAGCAAACATCATTCAATTCCATTGTTGATTTAAACAGTGCTCTAGTTTTGATGCAAACAATGATAAAGCCAAGAAACCAAATGCCACTCATACAGTACAAATTATTATTATTTATTTATTTGACTTTTAGCCCACCCCATTAGCCATAAGAGGATTACAATTTAAAAGTATACAGTAAAATAACAATATACAATAAAATGCAAATGTAAAAATAGAATAAAATCTATCAATCTAACAAGTAAAAGCACGCCATTATAAAACTCCACAGAACCATACATCAGCATAAAAGGCACAACAATATTTTGGGTGTTTATTCCTGAAATATTAATATGTGCATATGCTATGCATAGTGATATTGTAAGAGACTTCTATCAAACCTTTATCAGATTTTTTATGACACCGCAATGTGAAATGAATGATCTTGAGACAAAATATTCCCATTTTGTGTCTATATACATGTGTCTATACTTTGCCCTGCCTGATGGTGATGAATAGTTAATAAATGTGTGTTTTAGTGCATTTTGCATCTCTCTATTCATGCAAATTTACCCCACTATTTAAAATCCAATTATTATTATTAAGTCTTGGAAATGTCACACCCAGGTAATCATGAAGCTAATGCCCAATCATGTGTCAGATTCCAAAACAGATTCCACATTTACCTTATCCAGGGCAGAAAATACCTTCCAAAGTAGGTTGCCAAAAGCTAAGGATGCCATAACAGTGTGAATATGAAGGCAGGTTTGTTCTTTCTTGAGATCTTCATTAACAAAGTATTTATATGTTTAAGGTGGTATGAACTCTTTCTGAATAACTGCTCTGCATAAATAATATACATTGGCAGACATACTTTCATGCTAACGCCTTCTAGTCTGTATGCTCTTGGAGTTACTCTAAAGCTGACAGCCTCTTCTGATACTTCATTAGCACTTTTTAGAGTGTATTACATACACCAAGCCAGATAAAAAATAGATTTAAATTATACTTGAATGGATGCCAAAGCAACCAAATGTGAAAAAGCATGCTTTCACTCCTTAAGTGTTTACCTGAGTTCATCTGTGCCATAGAATTACCTTGAAGTTTAAAAATGCAAGAAAAATCTTATGGCATCATTTAATTAGTAATAGCTGTGGGGAGAAAATCTTTGTAGAATCCATTAAAACAAGAGTCTATTCTAGCCTAATAAAATGCATTGAGAACAACTCTAAATAGCATTTAATTAGCTGGCAACAAAGCTGCTCCACCCTCAGGGATGTGTAAAATTAATGAAGTTTAGGAGGAAAGAGACCATACACCACAGCCTTATGAGAAGTGGATGTAAAGAAAGGAGTGATTTTGTTGCAAGGCTTTGTTTGAAAACCATTTCCCCCTTTATAAAGAAATCACTTTCATAGAAGTAAAGCTAAAAAATCAGCATCAAGCAGTGCTGCTCTCTGCTTGGCTTGTCCAATCTGAGCCAGCTTGCACTGTTTATCCTGCACAATACAGCTCATAGGGGTACCCATTTTGTACTGCCTTGAGCAATTGCTGTTTGTTAATCTATTCTCTGAGCCAGTGCCTTGACTCGTGTGTCCCTGTTCATTATTACAGCAGCTGTAGGTCTGTAGTGCCAAATTGTTTCCCAGGAAGTGATGAACACATGTGATTCTAGTTGCTAATACTCTGCTCAGAAATTTGTATTATGCAAACATACTGTTTGGTCAGATGTTTCTGTTAATGCTTGATAAATGTGATTGCTGAAAAGCCCACTATATAAAGCAAAAAAGCTACACTGGTCTTCTAAACCTCTTACAAAAGCAGTGTATTATAGAAAGTACCTGTCAGTATACCTCACAGTTGGCATTTTCATCACCAGTTTAGCACATTACTAATTGAATGTTACTTGTATCAAGTTTTATCAGTTACATGTGAAATGAATAGTTGGAGTCCTCTTGTGACTACCTTGGGTCCTAAGAACTCATTTGAAGCACATGGACAGTTAACAGCTGGGACCAATGGAGGGATAAAAAAAAATGGAAATCATCCACTTAGTTAATAGCAAGGGCCTATGACAGAAAGCCTACTCACACCTTCATCTTCATATTTATATGAGGAGAGAAAGCAGCAGTGTGCCAGTAGTCCCATCATTCATTTTGCTGCCATCTCCAATATCTATGTATTTGTCTATAGAGGGAATCTACAGATGTATAGTTGTATCAACACGCAATCCAGAACCTCAGTCAGGTAGGATTCCAGTTCCCTCCTTTACAGATGTGCTAGAAAATAAATGACGGGGAGCAAGTTCAGTGGGGCATGCATTGCTACTGGCATGATCCTACTCTCTTTTCCATAGCTTAAATGTAAGCTATGGAGAGTTCCACCAGACTGTAGACAGCTCCATGGCAGCAAGCATGTTACTCTGATAAGTTTCAGAGTCAACCAAACCCTTCTACATTGGTGGATTCAGTAAGGTTCAAGTTGCACTGAGCTACTCATTTCAGGTTCGGGCTTAACCATGCATCTTGTATAAGAGTGTTCATGATCTACACTTTCTTAGAAAGGGCCAGTGTTTCATATAGAACATGTTAGTTACCTTTATAACATTATTTCTTGGTCAGTGTCTGAGTCTCATGGTAGAAGTTCCTTAGATCTTTTTTGTATATTCTATTTTAACTATGATTACCCTCATCATCATGACCTTCATAGTAGAAAACAGGTTTATCAACTTGACTTCCACATTGTCCTTCTCATGCATATACGTCTGTTGTTTTCAGTTTATGGTATGTTGTCTGTTTCCTCTGGATATGAGTAATCTTTCTTGCAGCAGAGTCCAGCTTAATCCAAGAAGTGCAACATCTGCATAAAAATTATAGTATTTTGTATAAAATATTTTAGTCCACCTCTGCAACTGAAGAATGGCAAAAATGAAACCAGCAGATGACAGAACAAGTAATTTGAAAGGTTTTTTGTACTTTAGATAGCTCCTAAGACAACAAATTCTTTTGAGCTTCACATAACAGAGTTCTTACTCTGCTTGGTATATGTACCAGATGGTACAGCATATTTAGCTTGAAAAAGATGTTTCATCATGTGAGGCAGATAGCTATATCATGCTGTTCATGACTTCCAAGTCATCTGGATAGCTATATCATGCTGTTCATGACTTCCAAGTTACAAGGATCTGGCTTGCTGAACCTGAT